GAGGAGGAGGTGGACGAACGAGGAGGTACAAGGCCGATGATGGTTATTATTTGTTTCACGTTCGTCTTGATATCAAGTGCTGCAAAGCACGGTAATCCACAGAAGCGCGAGCGCGGAACCACATCAAGACCACGCTTCAGCCTGATGATGATGATGATGATGATGGAGACTACGAGACGACGGCAACGGCGAAGAGATGAAGGGGGGGCGGGGCGGGGGATGGATAGGGCAGAGATGCTGCTGATGATGATGGTGCTGGTGGTGGTGATGACGGTGCTGAATTTTACTCGGCGTCATGACCCATCAAACTGGAGCCAGCCTGAACTGAAAGTAAAAAGTTGATCCGCCGCAGAGTGCCAATGTACTCGTCCTGCCCCGCTCGAAGGCCGCACGTCTCGGGGGTGCTGGCACAGGGGGGCTGCGCTGCGCTGCCTCGAAACGAAGGTGGGAGGCACTATGAACATAGAAAGTTCGCGGCCTCGTCTTCGGCGGTCGTGTCAAACTCTAGCATCGGGGCCTCGTCACTACTGAAATTGCGTGCCTCGCTGGGCACAGAAACTGGCGCGCTGGCTGCAGGCGCTAGCAAGTCTGTAGGCACAGAAACTGCCGCGGCGGGCACTGGCGCAGGCTGCGGCGCAGAAGCTGGCGTGCTGTTGACTGGCGCTGGCAAGTCTAGTGGCACAGAAACTGGCGGCTCTATGACTGGCGCTGGCTGGTCTGAATGTGACGCGACTGAGTCTGGCACAGAAGCTGGCGTGGGAACCAAAGCTGCGGGCGCAGAAACTGGCGCGCTACTGACCTGCGCCGGCAAGTCTGATGGCACAGGAACTGGCGACAGAGAGGCAGCGGCATGTGCATACTGAGCGGTCACGCCGCGGCTGGACGCTGGCAGGGATTCACCTCTCACGAATCGTATCTTTACTGCTCGAAAGTCTCCAGCCAATGTGCTACTTCCTCCTCGAGCCATCCCGCTGGCGCCACCTGGCGGCGGTGCTGCGCTGCCCCTTCCGAGGCAAATGCCCGCTGGATGATGGAACGACCTTCCCAGGTCAGGGCCCCGATGACGAGCTTCATCTTGTCCGTGTCGAAGCAGCTCCCGGGGCGTATGTAGCTCATATTCAACAGCAGGTCGTCCTCGGAGATCTCCACTTCCAGCTGCTCGGGGACCGCTGGCTGCGCTTTCTCCAAGTACTCCGCGATCTCCGCTTTGAGCTGGCCGCCGATGTCGCACTTCTGGAGGCTCTCGAGCGCCGCGATGCCCGGCGCTGGTGCTGGTGCCCCGGTCTCCTTGAGCCTCTTCTTGTCGGCGTCCTCGCCGCTCCTGCGAAGCTGTCGAGTAACTGCTTGTAGCCCATCGAGCTCGTTGGAGACCCCATCGATGACAGGGTGATTGCTGCTCATCGTGTGCGTGTCGATGCCGATGCTGCTGTTGAGGCGTCTTGTGGGTGGTCTGGAGCAGCAGCTTCAGCGTCGCGCGCAAAAGACTCAGTAGGTTATTGTCCCTACTGCTCCAGACCTTCTCTTTGTGGGCGCCTCGCCTGGCCCTGCGGCCACCTCTGCGCTTCCTGCGAAGGCCCTGCGCGCCCGCGGCTGTGCCCTCGCCCGCGGCCTCCGCGGGGGGCAGCTCGTCCTCGTCCGCCGCGGCTGGTGCTCGTGGGGAGCTCAAGCGCTGTCCTGTGGCTGGCTTCCGTGGAGGCGGCGGTTGCAGCCGGGGCTTGGCCGTCGCCGGCCCCCCCTCGTCTGGCTCGGAGGCGGCGCCGGAGTCCTTAGAGCCCGCTGAGGAGCCCAGGGGGATGCGCCAGGAGGCGCGTGGAGCCTTGGCTGGCGCTGGCGGGGGGTCCTTCGCCTTGTCGTTCGGGGCTGCCGCTGCCGCCCTCTCCTCTGGCGTAGCCGCCGCCGCCGTCGCGCTGGTCGCGCAGAGGAGGTAGCGAAGGTGTCGATGCGCAAACTGCGCGGCGCAGTGGCGCTGGCGTAGGCGTTGCTGCTGTAGCTCTGCTGCTGGTGGCCCTCGCGAGCCTGCGTCTCGTCGCTCTGGTAGCTCTCGAGCTCGGGAGGAGGTCCGCGGATCGGCGAAGCGCGGGCCTGGTGCCAGCTGAATCAACGATCGAGCAGGTCCACCGAATCTGGAACTGGCGAGTAGCTCAAGGGGCTGGGCCCGAGCGTGTCGAGCGAACCTCCGTCCTGACAACTGGCTTGAGCAGCGAACCTGATGGCGACGGCGGAAGATGAGAGATGGTGTGCCCGTAACTGTTCTGGGGCCTGATGCGCACGATGACGCGCAGGATCTTGATCACATTCGCGAAGCGGGCGTGTAGTGCATGTAGCTGGGGCCCAGGGATATACATGATGAGTAAATTATGGTATGCATCTGCCTGCCTGCCATGCTCTCCTGAAGTGACGGGCTGCATGATCTGTGTTCGGAACTGTTGCTTGGCGCGCGGTACATGTGTTGTCCACCTGTGGTGTTGTTGAGATAGACGGCGTCCCATGGCCCACTCCC